AATTAATTTAGAAGGAAAGAGCAGATGAAAATAAGGCCATAACTGGCATAACTTCCTTCTTCAAAGGGAAGAGAAGTATTTCCATAACAAAATGGAGTTCTGACCTTTTATGAGCAGCTACCTTTTTTCTTTGGATCTTTAATTGTTATGTTAAAGGTCATAAAAAGGACCATGACTACCTTGTCCGTGTACTATATTAAATAGTTAAATTTTGTGTACTGGAAAAGCTACTGTGTTCTTTGCATAAGGAAAGGTCACTTCTAATTCATGCCCCAGCATGGTGAGTCACAGGCTGCTAGTTTGTTCAAGTTAATGGTTTTCATATACTGGATTTTATTATGATCTCTGAAGCCTCCATGAAACTGGGGATTTCAGATTATCAGGAGCATCAGGTCTGGGTGTGTGAAATTGTTGGTGCTCTCTTTGCAACATGTAGCATCCAGAATATTGTTGAAACATCATAGTTGCTTATCTTTGGCTGTACCAAACAGCGTACAAATGACAATACTCTGACATAATGGGTCTTATAACTTCATTTTACACAATTCAATAGCAAAGTGAAACATTAAAATAATCCATAGCAAGTGCGCCAACACTGTTTTACAAAAGCTTGTGTATATTTGTGTTAATGGCACTAATGGAAGTGAATATTATTGGCAATAAAATATGTGTAAATGTAGCAACCAGGGCCCACGAGAGGGCGGGGAGAAGCTGGCCCAGCGGTCCGGAAGGGGGCCCGGGGCCCAGCTTCCCCCCACCCCTCGTTGGCCCTGTTGAGCTGGTCCGCCCTTACTGGGGGGCCCGAAAAAATTCCGGAAGGGGGCCCAGCTCCCCTCCCCCCTTCCCCCCCCCCCGCGTCATCGACCCTGTTTAGCCAGTCTGCCCTTGCTGGGGGCCTGAAAAAAAAATTTCACCAGGGCCCAAACCCGCTCTCGGCGGCCCTGGTAGCAACCACATCTTTCTCTAGGTGATTGATTTTCAAAGATGAAATTTACAAGGAGGTAAATTGTAGTAATGGTGTCTGTGATTTTTCACTTTCAGTACTTCTATATAAAATAATTTGCCTTTTCCCCCCACTCTTTCAGCAATATGCACCCCTGCTGGCTGTGTTCAGCACCCAAGGCCAGTCAGAGCTAATTCTTCTCCAGAAGGTTCAGGAATACTGTTACGACAACATCCACTTTATGAAAGCCTTTCAGAAGATAGTGGTACTCTTTTACAAAGGTATATGTCCATATCCGCCGTAGTATGGTGTACAGTGAACATTGTGTCCTGTGCCTACTGGAACATACTGTAATAAGATATTGAGTAAGTTTGGCATGTACACCTCTACCTCGATACAACGCTGTCCTCAGGATCCAAAAAATCTTACCGCGTTATAGGTGAAACACGTTATATTGAACTTGCTTTGATCCACCGGAGTGCACAGCCCCGCCCCCCTGGAGCACTGCTTTACTGCGTTATATCCGAATTCGTGTTATATCGGGTCACGTTATATCGAGGTAGAGGTGTATTTAGATTCTGAAGCTGTTCTCTCAGGTCTGTGCAGAAACCACTTAAACTATCCAGAGATAGAATTGCTCCTATATAAGGAGATTCTCCACTGCCGTAGAGATGGAGGAGGTGGCATAGTTACTTCTTACACCAGCCCACCCCTTCACCGATGATGTAAGTGTGTGGGGAGGGGGAGGGGAAAGTTACAGGCATTTAGCATGTTGGAGTGGCTATGGTAGACCTGAGTTCTTCTAGACCTGCTGGCGTCAAGGACCTTATACCAGCAGCAAGCTAAAGCAGATTCCTCCTGCTCTAACATATGCTGGTGCTGGTGGCCCTAAATCATGGAGCCATGAAATCATGGGGGAGGGAGGGGTAATCAATGTCATCTTGAAAAGAACAGTGATCAAGGTTTGTCTTTTGGCTTCTATATGGGCATTATTCTGTTCCCATTGATGTCCCTGGAAAATCTTGCCTTGACTTTAACGGAAGCAGGATCGGGCCATAGCTAGGCACTGTCAGATCCTTGGAGAAGCCATTATTTCCAGGATATTTTTTTTTTTTATAGTATAGATGGTTTCTTAGTAGGTTTATTCAGTTCAGGTTGTCATAGAGACTAATAGTCTTGCACTGCATGTGAGAGGTGGGTGATAAGCAGTTTGTTCTGACATTCTTGCTATAAATAGTTGAAGGGGGGAAATCAGTGTGACTAGAAATGCTCGGTATAGATTTTTTTTGTTCATATTGTGTGTTCACGTATACTTTCAAAAACACACAACTGATGACTAAAGTATTCATATAGGTTTTCAGAAAGCAGAAACAAGTGAGTCAACAATATTTATTCCCATCCTTATTATGTCTATATAAACTGACGCCAGTAGTTTTAAAAAATAGAAAATGTGACCATTTAAGAAAAATTAAGACGTAACAAGACACAAACATTCTAATTTGATTTTCTTTCGTGCATCCTCAGTAGATTGTGTTCTAGCCTTAGTTCACGCTGTATATGCTGGATGAGCATTGTAACTTTTCTGCATGTTATTTAAGTTAAGTGCCCCAAATGATAACATAAATAGTTTAAGTAGGTTTGTCTTCAGTTTGTGGTGTAAGGGACCTAAAATGAATTTAAATAAGTAACAATGTAAATGTGAGAGGAACCAAGCTATTGAGAATTATTTGTACAGTTGTTATGGATAATATATTTAATATACATTTCCTCATAAAAGCAATATGAACATATCTGGTGAAAAATTATAACAAGTAATAAGTTTGAGCCCAATTCAGAATATAGCAGTGATTCCAGTCAGGACTGGGACAGCCAGGCTGTCCCCATCTTCTGATGCCCCCAAAACTGCTCAGACTTGATTTCTTCTTGTGTGTGAGCTGTATTTTATTCTAAGCCTGTCCACCAACCCCAGTACAGTGCAACATCACAGTTTTAACTTTACTTCTTTCAGCCTTTCTTTGCCTGGGTCCTAGGAGAAAAGGAGGTCTCCCTCTCTAGGGAGCTCCTTCATTCCAGGCTCAGCTAGCCCTGTCTTCCTCTCTCTTGTAACTCTTCCTTCCTGAGTTTTTTATCAGGTTGGTCAGCTGAGGGCTAATTAGTCCCTTACCTCCCCAGCTTCTCCTTCTGATTAGCTAATTATTTAATCAGACACTGATTATGGGGGGGGGAGAGCGGGGAGGAAAGACACTAATTGAGTCTACAGTGATCAGAGTGCTGACCTGCCTGCTGACCTCAGAACTCTGTCACAAGGTCCACCAATAATGATGATAAAAAAGGGTTTTTATATCCACACTTGCTTGGAAATAGACTCCAGGCTGAATTTAACAGACTGTACGGTGTTGACGGCCTCATGGATTGTTATCTATGTTTTTACTCTAAAATCTGTCCCTTTTGTAATGTACAGATACAGGGCCAGATTTCTTCATGCAGTGTGGCAGCTTTGTGCCACATTGCTTGGCATAATCTGACCTTTAAAGCCAATTTAACAAGCCCAGAGAGGATCATCCTAGTGTAAAGGCGATCCTCTAGTGATTTAGAGATAATCTAGGGGCCCCTGCATTATTATGCCTCCCTGCTGCTGGCATAGAATGGAAAAGGGATGTGACCAGGATATCCCTGAGCTATGCCAATCCTAGACTGTAGGTTGCCCCTGCTCCCACTGCACCCCAGTGTAAGTTAGATCAACACAGTCCAGACAGATGAACAGAGCAGGATCAGAGGAGTATGAAGGTGAGCCTTAAGCAAGTTTTGAACAACCCCCCAGATCCATACGGTGTTCATTTCAGCCTCAGCTGGAGGGTTTGGGTGCTAATCTTTCATTACTGTTCAAGAGAGTTTGCATATATAATCTCTTTAAGTTGATATAATTGTAAACTCATATTCAAATGTGGTAATTATTTATAAGGACCGCCACATTGCTGATCCACTGTCAGTTTAGCAGTAAAAACATCAACCACGTTCTTCCAACTTTTGAAAGTCTTAAATCCAGGAATGAATAATAAAACAAGACCTTTAAGAAGTTATGTATTGGAGCTCCAATTATAAGAAATTCTAGGCCATGTAGGGCCTTTGAGACCTGATTCAAATCCCATTGAATATGTTGGGAGTTTGCTATTAATTTCAACATGAGAAGGATCAAGTCCCTTATCAGTGCAAAAGACCAAAAATGTTCTGTTCTGTGTATATATTTTATTTATGTTTATAAGAAATATGTAAAAGAGAACCCTTTACACTCTTAAAGGTACAATTAATGATAAACAGAGGCTGGCAATTGCTCACTGACAATACAACCCCAACAGCAACACAGATCTAAGAAAAAATTAATAAGCCTCATTGTTCCCCCAGATCTCTACTGGCCAGCCATCATATGTAGGATGACATACACTTTCAGTCAATTCTAAATCGCCTAGAACATCTTCATTTCTGGCTGAATTATAGTAGGAAAATACTGAACATAATTAACATTGGATTGCGTATTACACTACGTTCATTAACCACAGAATCCCCTGTAGCTCTACTAAATTTATCTCTAACTTAGAGATCCGGGATGAAATCTTGGCCACACTGTAGTCTATGTCCAAACTTCTGTTGACTTGAGTGGGATCAGGATTTCATCCTTGAAGAACAAATGTTCATAACATGGAATAAAACCTTTTTTCTGTTTTTTAAAGGCCACTAAAGCTATATTTTATTAAGTTTCTGGCTGCAGAACCTCCTGAAGAGATGGAAAGAATTGGGAGTTCCCATGGGAGAATACTCCCACTTGCTGCACCTGACCGATGCCTTAAAGATGCTAATGATTTTATTTTGCTCTTGTCTCCATTTTGGAGTCTTTATAACAAACAAACATTCAAACCACCTCTCTGAACATACAATCTATTAATCCTCCACTTAAGGAGATATTCAAGCTACAATTTACACACAATAATTTTCCATGGGGTAAATGTCATTATCTCTACTCAATTGTTCCAATTACCTTCCCTAGGAAGTGGAAGATGGCTTATGAACCTTTCACAGCAGAAAATACACACAAAAGAAATGCAAGCATTTTGCCACAATTAAACTGTGGGTAACATTACTTGAATAATAATAATGATAATCAAAAAGCAACATCTAAGGTTCTGTCTTTGCTGCAGTTAACTCAAGTTAACTCCTTTCAAGTTAGGCTGCCTCGAGTGAGAGCAGCCACACTGCGAAACACATGAACTACAGTGCGATTGTGTTAGCAGCTGACAAGTTGTGCAAGTGAACCTGTAGTCTGTACCAGCCTATGGGCCCCTTAACTTGAGTTAAAAGCACCACCACACTCAAGTTAAGGGTTTTTGTGTATGGACAGGACTTGAGCTAGGGGCAATACTTATGTTATAGTTCAAGTTAACTCTGCAGTGAAGACATCCTTATGAAGTGCTTTGGGCCCTCTCCCTTTCATGATTGATTTAACCTGGGGCTCTGGTGGTGGGTGGTTGGAGTAGTAGTTAGCTGCACTGGCAGGGAAACCAGCTCTGGATCTCCAGGGGGGCTGACATCACCCGGGGCAGTGGATGTAACAACAGAACCGTGCCAACAACTAAATTCAGCTGAAACTATTGCAGCATGTAAAAAGTAATTGTCATCATCTTTAATCAGAAATAACTAAAATAAATCACCCCCAGTATTCCCATTGCGTCAGAGCAACCTAGGGCTATCATTAACTACACCCTGCCCTGGCTGATTGCTTAATTGAGCATCTCTGCACTAACAGGAGAATATTATCCCTTACAAACACTGGAGGCACGAATGAATTACCAATGATGTTTCTCAGAAATGAAAGGAAAGACGTGATTGTCATTTCTGTAACACAAGGTATTTTTATTCCTTCTCTGGGTGCATTTTCTGTCAGTGCAGGAACATTCACTTCATTTTAGTACCAGAGAATCATATGCAGGCAAATCTCTTCCCCATCACCTGGGGACCATTCTCATCTTTCAGGCAGGTAATGAGACTTTGCTGTCCTGGATTTAGACCTATCTAATTTTTGTAATGCTTGACCACTAGAATGGGCTCTACTATTGTTGCAAATCCACCATCCTCAGAGCCCCAGTTCAGGAAAGCACTTAAACATGTGCATAACTGTAGGCACTTACATGGTGTACTGAATAAGGGCCAACAATTCCATTTGCAACATTTTCCATACCTATGACCCCATCTTATAAAAGATTCAATCCTTTCCCCACCACTTAGCCAGAAAGAAATGGAGGCTAGTCACAACATCCTTCTGTCCCAGGTGTTATGATGTACAGGTTGAGAATCTATATAATAGGTTGCTGTATTTCTTAGAATTTCATGCATGCGCTATACAGTATATTGGAGTACAGTGTTTTTTCATGAAGAAATTATATTTGTAATCTCTATTAAAAGTTCCATGTAAATACTTTGAAGCTTGTAGCTTGTACGCTCTAAATGAAAGTCCAAATGTGTGTTATAGACATAATGCCAGCAAAATGCTGGAGCCATAGTAAAGAATATTGGGTTGACAATTGTTTAATGCCAAATGTCACATCTTCCCTATAAATTTTATTTAGTTCCTGTATCTATTTATTTCTCATGATTCTACCATTTTTATTACTTTTGAGTACGTTCCAAGTGCAAAATAGTGGATTTTTTGTTATTCAGCTACATTTCTAGCTAAATATTGGAATCGAATTTTTACAAGGGGAGAGAATGATAGTTGTAGGTACAAGTTGTCATAGTCTTAAACAGGAATTTTGTAGTCTTGTGTGCGCGCACGCACACACACACACACACACACACAACTGTGCCACCACACTGTTTTCAAAAGGTGCGACACTCCTGCTCTTCATCTACCTTCAGCTTGTTTGTTGTATGATAATGCCAAATCGGATGATGGCTTTTGATAGTAAAAGATATTTGTGAGACAAGAGAGACTTCTAAACACATTTCACTTGTTTTCACCAGATTTGAAATCTCCAGGAAGACCCAAGTGTATTCAGCTTCCACCTATGAGTGACTGGTTGGCTTAGAGCATTTGTTATTAGTTCTACATTATCAGCTCAAATAGTTCCAGGTCACTACTATCTATTTGCTGTTCCATAGCTTATGTGAAGTGAGTCTGTGGTCTCAGTCCTGTTTCTATTTGCACAGATGTTTTAAAGATGTTTGTTCATTTATTTCATTATAGTTGATCCAGTTAATTTTCTTCTGTCCTTCACTGCTGGCATCTGCCTATAGTCTTTGTGCTACAGTAGAATATGGCTGCGTCCTGGTCTTCAGCAGAGTAGCAAGGGCTATCCCGTATTCCTGGTATACTAGATTATGAGGGGCAGAGGAGGAGTATGTTAGTTTGACCAGTACATGAAAATGAAAATGGTGGCGACAACCAAAGGTGCTGTTTTTATTCTGGCCTCCATGTCATCCAATGGCCCTGAAGGCTAAAGTTCATCACAGATATTGGCTTCACGACAGTCACTTATTCAGCTGCAAGACTTCATTGATTGGCAGAAGCTCTGTCACTTGGGCTAGAGGCTTATTGTTTCATATCAGCTAGGATCAGTGGGCATCCTGGCACGGTTTATTCAGCCTGATGTTCCTCTTGTCCTCAATTATTTTGTTCTTGACACTTAGAAGAAGAGTTCTGGGAGCATGGTCCTTTTAAATGATTCCCCTGATGACTGCTGTTTAATCAGCTGGGAAAGAAGACACTTCACATTAGGATGGGATTTTTGTTAATTTTTTTTCTTTCACAATTCTAGCAGTTTTACTCTTGCATAGCTCTATGAGTCAGCAGCAAAAGAACCTACAGCATTTCTTACTGAGGTGAGTCCTAAGATATACAGGTAGAGTTTATTGACTTCCTTTGCAATTGGTGTGTCATATATCTCTTATTTAAAGCCAATTGAATAGAGGAGTAATTACTATTTACAGAAGCATGACACTGAATGGTTTATTTTAACACTGGCCTATTTAGTTAATGACTGACTTTACAGTATGTGACACAGCTGGGATCCCTCTAAGGTGATATGCTGCAACTGTAGCCTAGTTGATCAGTGTGATTCACTTCTTACTGCCTCAAAACCTAGATGTTTTTCAATTGTCTTCTGTCTTATAAAAATATGCTGATCTTTGCAATCACTGCTCTGAATTGCAGCTGATGTCCTGAGTGAAGAAGCCATCCTGAAGTGGTACAAAGAAGCACATCTTGCTAAAGGCAAAAGTGTATTTCTTGACCAGATGAAGAAATTTGTTGAGTGGCTGCAAAATGCTGAAGAAGGTACAATTCCATTTACGTTAACAGTATTTAGTAGCCCCTTGGCAATTCCATTTTGAAGATGTTAGTTGTATTATAGTAGTGCCTACAGGTTCCAGTCATGACCATGACCTCACTGTGCTAGGTACTGTACAGATGTATGGTAAAAGACCGTACCTGCTCTAAATTGTTTATGATCTTAGTCTTTAGAAGGCAGGCACCACTGACTATTTTTCAGGTCATTAATGGAGTCCATACGAAGTCTCGAGTTCTTAAAATTCCATGTGTCCTGCAGTGTGAATTTCACTGAATTCCTGAATGAGAACAGCAATCATAAAGGCACAAGGACTGTAATTACTGTTAAAAAGGAATAACGGGAAGGGAAATAAATGGGTGTTTGGGCCCACATTTCCTTTTTTTCTGGTGCCCTACAATGGTAAACATTTTCCTTCTGGTATAAGAACAGGTGAACTGTCCTTTTAAAGCAGGGATCGGCAACCTCTGGCACACGGCTTGCCAGGGTAAGCCCCCTGGCGGGCCAGGGCGCTTTGTTTACCTGCCATGTCCGCAGGTTCGGCTGATCACGGCTCCCACTGGCACTGATTCGCCGCTCCAGGCCAACAGAGGCGTCGAGAAGCAGCGGCCAGCACATCCCACGCCGCTTCCCGCAGCTCCCATTGGCCTGGAACGGCGGTAGGAGCCGCAATCGGCCGAACCTGTGGACGCGGCAGGTAAACAAACCGGTCCGGCCCACCAGGAGGCTTACCCTGGCGGGCTGCGGGCCAAAGGTTGCTGATCCCTGCTTTAAAGACTGCCCCATGTTAGTTATGTTGAGTGGCAGGTATATATTTATCACTCTTCACTTGCCCCCTCTCTTCTGCTCAGTTCAAACTGATAATTTGACACACTGTTTCCTTCAATTTCTTGGGGCTGCTGATTATTTGTGGCTGCTAAACACAGTTGTATCAGGTTATCAAACGTTATTATTAATCAGAATTTTATGGAGGGATTATGAACAGCAATTCCACTACATAGAGGTCAGCATAACTGAAAGATTGTCCTTTTAACACACACCTTGGTATATTAAACCGTGACCAATTAAAATGTTTGCATTTCAGGCAGAAGTCTTACACTGTCTTTATTCTCCCCTTGCTACTCCTTTACTTGAGTGCAGGGGCATGCGCAAGGGTGGGCAAGCAGGGGCTCAGCCCCCCCCCCCAGTCAGTGGGGGGCACAGAAGTCCTCTGGGGCTAGGGCGGGGAGAGCGAACTGCTCTGTCCCAAGGGCTAGGGAGGAAGGGAGAGCCAGCTCTGCTGGCACTGGGGCCACTGGGGGAAGGGGGAGAACTAGCTCAACCTGCTGTAGCTGGGAGAGCCAGCTCCTCGGCCCCGAGCAGGGACAGGAAAAGACCGAAACCAGGGCCGTAGGGGGACGGAGGGAGGGAGAGGCAGCTCCACCGGCACCAGGGCTGCAGTAGGCTCCTCCCACCCACTACTGTAATAGATTCCTAACCTCTGGCTGAGTTACTGAGGTCCTCAAATCGTGATTTAAAGCCTTCAGGTTACAGAATCCACCATTTACACTAGTTTAAACCTGGCAGTGACCCAACCCCCCTGTTGCAGAGGAAGGCGAAAACACTCCAGGGTCTCTGCCAATCTGACCCACAGGAAAATTTCTTCCCAACCCCAAATATGGTGATCAGTTAGACGCAGAGCATCATACCATCCCCTCCATAAATATATCAAGCTCAGTCTTGAAGCCAGTTAGGTTTTTTGCCCACACTGCTCCCCTTGGAAGGCTATTCCAGAACTTCACTCCTCTGCTGGTTAGAAACTTTTGTCTAATTTCAAGCCTAAACCTGTGGATGGCCAGTTTATACCCATTTGTTCTTGAGTCCACATTGGTGCTTAACTTAAATAACTCCTCTCCCTCCCTGGTATATATCCCTCTGGTGTATTTATAGAGAGCAATCACGTCTCCCCTCAGCCTTCTTTTGGTTAGGCTAAACAAGCCAAGCTCTTTGAATCTCCTCTCATAAGGTAGGTTTTCCATTCCTCGCATCATCCTAGTAGCCCTTCTCTGCACCTGTTCTAGTTTGAATTCATCTTAAACATAGGAGACCAGAATTGCACACACTACTCCAGATGAGATCTCACCAGTGTCTTGTACAATGGGACTAATACTTCCCTGTCTCTATTGGAAATACCTCGCTTGATGGTACTAATACTGCATTAGCCGTTTTCACAGCCGCATCACAGTGGTGGCTCATAGTCATCCTGTGATCAACCAATACACCCAGGTCTTTCTCCTCCTCTCACTTCCAACGGATACATCCCCAGCTTATAGCAAAAATTCTTGTTGTTAGTTCCTAAATGTGTGACTTTACACTTTGCACAATTAAATTTGGCCTGAGAAGTTTGGTTTGCAATTGAATTGCATTTGCAACATACTTTCCTCAGAAGTGAACAATAAGTCAGAGATTCAGCATAATGTAAACTTTTTCACTTGATTTTAGTTGGCAGTTTGGGGATGTGTGGTGTTTTATTTAGATTTTTGATAGCAAATATATGGCATGCGTCTCAGTCTAATTGTACTGCCACCTACAGTTTTGTGAACAGACTGTATCATCATACATCGTCTTCAGAAACTGATTTATCTGATAAAGCACATCAGCTGCAGTACATAACTTGTATTCTGTACAGCAGCAATCCCACCTGGACAGATAGATGGATAATTATTGTTTTTTATTAAATTTAACCAGTGTATACTTGATCTCAGTTTATTTTGTGGGAAAGTTAGGTCTAGATTATCCATAGTGAACCAATTCTGTTCTAAATCTAGACCTGTACAACTGAGTAGAATTAGGTGTTCTGTCTGCAGTATTCAGAGTGGTAGCCGTGTTAGTCTGTATCAGCAAAAACAAAGAGGAGTCCTTGTGGCACCTTAGAGACTAACAAATTTATTTGGGCATAAGCTTGGGTTTTAGCCAACGAAAGCTTATGCCCAAATACATTTGTTAGTCTCTAAGGTGTCACAAGAACTCCTCTTTGTTTTTGTCTGCAGTATGTTTCTTGCGGAGCTGCTTTCAATGATCTGACTGCCCTCCCTAGGAAATGTGATATATGAGGCTAATTTTTATTCAAATCTTTTACTGTTGCTATTTACAGAAATAATGATATAACTGTCACTGTAAATCCAGTTCAAAAAGAGCAGAAAAGTTTTACTTTTCTTTTTACCTCATAGAATCAGAATCTGAAGGCGAGGAGAATGAAGATGGTTCAACAAAGCACAATCTCTAGGCTACTGCCAAATGCTCTTTGGGAATGCCGTATTGTTCAAGCAAAACAGGTTTTACTTCAGTGTCCTACAAAAAACTCAAGGCTAGGCTTTCCTTTTGTTTAGAAGAATAAAGTTCTTTAATGGAGCCCTGAGGCATTAGATGCTCTCCTTGGGACTCTGCCTAAGTTAGTGTACAGTGAGTCAGAGTTAGACATTCAGCAAGGAGCCATATAGGAAAAGTGAAATGAAATTCTTATGGACTCCTTTTTTATCAGCAATCTTTTTAGGTACTGTGATATGTGAACACTCCTATGTCTGTTTATAGAATTGGTTGATCTGTGTTTGTCGCTTAATATTAGCTTGTGTATGTGACTTGACACCACTTTTTTTTGAATAAATGGCTTTTTGTATCTTAGTTCATTTGTTCTCAGTGCATTTGTTTCATAGACTTATTGTCTGCCACTGAACACATTAAGATTTATCTTTCCTTAGGTGAAAACTGAGTAACAGGCTATTCTGAGACTTCCTCTACTCATTTTTTTGGTATTTTTAAAGTTCACTATTCACAAAGCCACAGTTAGTTAAGGATAGGCAGCAAGCCCATTTTCCCCCTCAATTTTGGCTGACCCAGTGTGGTTCTGGTCAGACTATCCTGATACCTGGACAAATCTTGGTATTCTCAATCTGCTAATAACGCAAAGAAAATGCAAAACTGCAAGCTGTGTTGATCTGGACCTTTACATGTACAATATTTGCACATGCAACAAATCAATATTGTGGGCTCAATCTAATGGCATACAATAATTGGTAGTCACCAGATTTTCATGAACAAAATAATTATACATATAAATCTGGTGGTTGCCAATTTAAATATATAACTAAAATTTTTCACATGCAAATTTGAGGTTTCCTATACAACTGTGTAGGTTAATGTCCCCCACCCACTAGTCACTTGTGCACAGAAACGTCCCTATTCACCCCATGAAGCCAGCATTCTTTAACTATTCCATTGGCCTAGATTTTCATTGTTCACTATTCCAATACCTCCACAATAACTGTAATACAGAGTGGCCCCTTCTTGATAGCTTGTATGCAAATAACTTTTAAAATGTATGTTATATACTTAAATCTCTTAATTGATCTGAAGTCTTTGCTATGGTAATAGACATATGAAGACTAAAACAATGGTGTAGTGAAAAGCTACTGCAAGTGTGCACTTCACAATTTTCAAATATATAAACTTCTATTTGTTATTTTAATATAAAGGGGTTAAGTCCACATTGTGGTGAATGATCCCAGTAGGGTTTAGAAAGTCTTTTTTAATCATAGAAGGGCAAAAGAGCATCATTAATCAGAAAAGTAGCAATGCAGTTAGTAACTCTAAAACTACCCAACAGACTGGGGTTTGTTTGAAAAGTATTACCTGCAAATAGTTCCTGCAGTGCATCCAACAGGTACATTCTTGTCTCAATATATACCCAGCCTTAACTGCAGGCAGCATGCATCAAGCAGAGAATAAATTCTCTTGTGTGCCACCTTTCAGCCAAGAACAACAGTTTTGCAGCAGAAATCGATCTAACAGAATATATAAAATAGACCTTTTCAGTAACCATAGTAGAACTAGCAGGCACCAGGATAATTACATTATTTATAATGGAAAACTGATGCAATGACCGAACACAGCTGGACCTAAAGGGGTTTTTAACGTCTATAGAAACAAACTTACCGCAGTCATCATTGCCCTTGGGTGGTATTTGCATCAGCTCTGCGGCTGAACTGTTATATTAATACACCTCTACCTCGATATAACATTGTCCTCGGGAGCCAAAAAATCTTACCGTGTTATAGGTGAAACCGCGTTATATTGAACTTGCTTTGATCCACCGGAGTGCGCAGCCCCGCCCTCCGGAGCATTGCTTTACCGCGTTGTATCCGAATTCGTGTTATATCGGGTCATGTTGTATCAAGGTAGCAGTGTATAATGCTCCTTCTGAATAAGTTTATCAAAGCATAAAATGAACATACAGTTAGGGTATGCAAAAGAATTATACATTTGTGTTAACCTGAAAATCAGGATACCTTCAAAGGTGCCAATCCAGCATAATGTGCAAAAAGGTATAATAATCCTGCCTTCAGTGTGTCTATCTCTATCTCTATCTATAGAGGATGACATTGTCGAAGGTGGGCATGACAACCATGCTCACAAAATGTATATGCGCCTTTTATCCTCCCTAAAAATCTTTGTCTACTGGAAAAAGGGACATACCCACATGCATGTGCAGTTATGTATCGTTCATGTCCAGGTATAGGTCTTCACAGGTACCATGTGGATATGTGTAAACTACTGGTAACTGTGTTGCGTCCCTCTCTGTGCCTGATGCAAAGAGAAGGTGAGCCTGTTAAAGTCCCCCACTGACAAATAACTGGCTCTGTAGTTCAAGCTGTAGAGACTCATGCTTTTAGCTTCCCTTCTGCAATCCCTGGAATCACTCCAGATTGCGACTTTCACATATGTCCAGGTGTTTTGGATGCAACAGGTGAATAGTTCTTTAAAGCCCTTGTCCAGCGTATGTTCTGGAAGCTGAATGTTGTTCTCCTAGATAAGTATTTTTAGAATAGCTTTTCCTCAAAATGAATTGATGCATCAAAGTGTATATAAATTAAGGCCTTGACAAAAGTCTCAAATGAGAATTTGGGCAACACGTTGAATTTAACTTTGAGACGGGGTGGAGAACAATGTTGATCTTGATTTCGATTTCCTGACTCTTGGTCAAAAGCTCAGCATTATTGGAACACAACATTTAATATCAATAGTTCATACCCCTCTGCTGGAGATATGCAGATTTGGATCAACACTTCAGGTGGTATTAAGATCCAGGGTTAGTCTTCGAATGGTGTGATTGTTGAATAAGAATGTTCTGTATATAAATATGCTTCACGATGCAATAGCAATTTATTTCAAAACATCAGTAGACAGTGTTTAAATGCTAGAACTAAAAATATCAATCTCCTCTTTAAAATAGACCGCCATGTGGGGAAGGAGCTTGGATGTGACCTTGGATGGTTGTTTGGTATAGTTGGGGAAAATATGGAACAGGTTTTTTGGGGGTAGGCGGGGAGGGATTGTTAGGGAGCTTCTCCCATGCAGACCTAGAAAAGCTAAGCACTCATTAACTCTACTGAATGCACATCATCTTTGAAAATCAGGCTACTCGTCTTCAAAGAAGTTTTAGAAAATGTGAATCCTTAATCTTTGGCTGATACATGACAGCGCAGAAAAAGTTATTTGTGAGGGCACGCTTTTAATATTTAACACTACAATTTGACAGCTCCACACAGAGACACTTGGACTGCTGCTGTGAGTGCGGTTTGGTGGATGGGTAATGTGTTCTACTGGAAGAATTCTGTGCCACTGTGCAATGCAGAATTTGTGCCCAATTAATGTTATGTACACAAGTTCATGTTCCCCCCCCCCACACAGAATTGGGGCTGCAGAGCTGCTGGCAGCCAATAGGGGCTGATGGACGCTGCAGAGCCCAGCTCACAGTGAGCAAAGCACCCAGCCTGGTGTGGATGGAGGCTCTGAACACTTTGGCTGCCCGGCTTTGATTATCTTCTACCCGGGGACAGGAGAGGGTCCAGGAGACCCAGCTCTGGCAAAGGGTGAGGGAGGGTAGGACCTCAGTGTCCCCCAGTGGGATAGTAAATAAGCTGGGGGGGGAGTAAAGGCTCTGGGGTAGGGGGGTGCGGGTGTGTGGGCTGGGAGGGTGGCCCGCAGCTGGGCTCTGGAGGAGGAGGTTGCGGGTGTCTGAGCTCTGGGGGATACCACATAGCACCCTCCAGCACTCCCCAACTGGAACTGGGTTGTCATAGGAGTTTCTTGAACTCTCTGCTCCTCAGGTGAATTTTTTGTTGTTGTTGCCTATAATGCTGACATCCTTGTTGACAGGTATTTTGAAATAAATTACCAAAATAACTGAAACTGAAGAGATTATATTGTGTTATTTTGACAAATAAAATATGCAGAATTTTAAAATGTTGTGTACAGAATTTTTAATTTTTTGGCACAGAATTCCCCCAGGAGTAAATGTGGTGTGGCCAAGGGACTATTACCTGTGGTACCTTCTCACCAGCAGGGGAAGGGAGTTATATGGACTGCTGCCAAAATTACTTGGGGGACGGTGTATTTTATGCTTAATTTACATATGTAATGCTGACAGCCCCTGTCATCATTAGCCAAGATCAAACCGATGATCACTGGAACTTAATGCATGAGCTTCTATTGCATGAGCTAAAAGACATCTCCCTTAGCCAAGGCTATAGCGGACTCATCAATCTCTTGCTGTTCTAACTACCATTAGAGGATGATAGAGTACCAGACCAAGCAGGCATCTCTCTTCTCACCCTACAATCTCTCCAAGTTTGTCTGTTTTCTTCACCCCAATAAAGATTTATTTCTGTCTGATAAGGGCACCCAGGAAGGATCTGTTTAGTTTTTGCAGGTTTCTAGGTGAGGGCTTGAGGCAGTTTAGTTTTGTCAAGAGGGACCCAAAATATATTAAATCTGACCCTTTTTGCTGCCAATAACCACCTGACAGAAGGGCTCCACACATCTGCAGCTGAAGCATCTATGTCTCCACCCATAGGTTCCCAAATTATTCAGTGCCTGTAATAAAACTGGCCCCCTTATAAATAGCTGAATTTCAAAGTACAGTTTAAAAAGTCTCAAACTAATCCATGATAACAGGGAAATATACTGAGAAAGTGGCTTCCAAAAAGGAGTCATTTTATTCATGGTGCCATTGCATCACTATGTCTTGTAATGGTCATTTTTCAGAATGGAGAGAGGTAAATAGTGGTGTCCCCCAGGGGTCTGTACTGGGATCAGTACTGTTCAACATAGTCATAAATGAACTGGAAAAAGAGGTAAGCAGTGAGGTGGCAAAATTTGCAGATGATACAAAACTACTCAAGATAGTTAAGTCCAAAGCAGACTTCACTGCAAAGAGTTACAAAGGGATCACACAAAACTGGGTGACTGGGCAATAAAATGGCAGATGAAATTCAATGTTCATAAATGCAAAGTAATGCACATTGGAAAACATAATCCCAACTATACATATAAAATGATGGGGTCTAAATTAGCTGTTGCCTCTCAAAGAGTTCTTGGAGTCAGTGTGGATAGTTCTCTGAAAACATCCACTCTGTGCTGTGGCAGTCAAAAAAGTGAACAGAATGTTGGGAATCATTAAGAAAGGGATAAATAAGTCAGAAAATATATTGCCTCTATATAAACCCAGAGTACACCCACATCTTGAATACTGGGTACAGATGTGGTTGCCCCATCTCAAAAAAATATATTGGAAGTGGAAAAGATTCAGAAAAGGGCAACAAAATGATTAAGGGTATGAGTGCAGTTTCTGAATTGGAACATTTCAGGCCCCTGATGGCCTTCATTACATGGTTTTTCAGTCAGCAATGAGCACTGGAGCGAATGACTGATCATCTAATGTGAAAGGGCTGTAAGGGGACAGCACCATTTTGCATCTTGAATCTGTCACTTCCATGTTGCCTAGCTGCTAGAATCCTGATTCTCTCAGCGCAAGTACCCCATTTAGCACCTCAGCATTAGCCATCACAGCTGAATGCTATGTATACCTGGCCTTTACATTTACAGCACCACACCACTTTAGAGTGCATCTATGCAGTAATATCCTTATTTTCATTTATATAAGATCATGATCTAAAACTCCATATGCTGGCACCTATTCATGTCAATAAATATTTTTGCAGAGCAAGGAGCTCATATGCATCAATAAAGCAAATATGTATACAATTCTGGTGAGAACCACCACACCAGTGTAATCCTAGTATAGCTTGGAGGGGGAAGTGAAGAATCCCTCCTCCGGGGCATTTTTGTTAAGCAGGATGTAGTTAATTTGTGTGGGATGCTAGTCTGAGGAAAAATGACATCAGATCTTTAATGAATGAGGAGGAAGGATTTGGGGGTGATAAGCCTACAAAAAGAAAACACCTCCCAACATCAGAGTGGTCCATAAAAACTACACTGACTCAGAGGGTAGAGAATACTGTATTCCTAACACCTCTCCCTGCAATACCTCGATTTCCTATATAAGTAGTGACTGGAATTGACCCTGATAATTTATGAAAGTTGATGAATTTTCTCTATATCCCTAAAAGTTACTGGTATACATGGCATTTTGCATAACCCAGGTACCCTTAAAAGATGGTGAAAGGGGGGGGATAAGAGAACTCCGAAGTCTGGTTATGAGACCCTTTGTCATAAGTTCAAAGTCATGCCACATCAGTAGTGACCAAAAGTAGTTACCATCTAAAGACTACTTGGGGACCCAGGTGAAGTAAATTGGTGCACTCGGTCCTCCTTCTAATGGACGAGCAACCATAAAACCCACCACCCTTGCACTCAGTTTCCAGTTGGTACTTTCAACTGAAAGGCCACTGCCTTTAAGAACATGAAGATTAAACTTCCCTCTTGCCATTAGAGGTGGTTCCCCTCCATAGTAAGGCAGATGTTTGTTGAGGAGAAGCTAGACAGAGGCAGGAGCAGTGAAGCTTTCGCTACTGCCATCTGAGCTGTACCTGTCCTGTGGATAAATAGATTATTTTTTAAAATCTTTCTTCCACCTTTTCCCCCTGCCTTTTCTATGTACATTTTGTATCTCTGTGTAGATAGAGATTCAGGCACATCCTTTTTCAGTACTTTGGAATTCATATTCTCTGAATTTCTGAGTTTCAGATTTGAATGGAGCTGGAAACCTATAATAAAGCTCTGTTTGAAACCACCAAGTTGTATCTGGCTTCAGATCAAGATCATGGGTCTGATCCTGAACCCATGATCTATGAATACTCTGAACTTTCCCAATTCAAGCACTGCCACTCGGGACCATCTCTAGCCACCAAAAAGATTTCTTTGTTTTTCATCCGTCTTCATCACTTGGCCCAGCCTTCCTCACACCTGGCCTGAATTTTCAAAAATATCTGTGAACAATTTGTCAAACTTGCCCTAAGTTTTAGGTTTGTTGTAAAACAAGAACCAGGCTTGATTTTTGTATCATATAGGTGTGTTAAATGGATATTACATGGATGATTTCAGCATGCTGTATTGGGCCAAGTCCATACGTGGTGTTAGTCAAATTCTACACTGAGGGAATTACAACCAAATGAAACTGGCCCATTATTTGTTAGCATTTTAATCCATTTGTTGAAAAGCTATAGCATCATTTTGGGAATGGAATCTTAGTGCCCTCTAGTGAGTATCAGAGGCTGAAGCACGCTCTATAAACTGTTTTCTTTTACATTGTTTCACAGGACTCTGAACGTAAAATAAAAAGACAGTGCCACTAAGATCTCACCTCTGTGCACACCCCACTGCAAGTCTACTGGTTACTCAAAATGAAGGCAGCAGTCTTTTACCTTTCAAAACTGGTTGGCTGTGTGATGGTGTGAAACCTTGTTGGGCAGGTCTTGGTGTCCAAATACCTAGAAGCCCTCATCTTCATCACTGTAGCATCCAAACGCCTGCTCCTCACGTCTCTTTTCTGTTTTCATGAGCAAGTCACATGGTTCCACAGCCTGCCACAAGGGAGCAGAAAAGGAACAGTGTCTGCATACATCTTTACATGCCTAAAGAAATCCAGAGCAATGCAAAACAACAAATCAACATCCCAGAATAATTATCTGTATTATAGTAGTGCCTAGAGACTCTAAACAGGGACATGCAATCAAGTGTGTGGAATGACTGCCCACGGAAGGGGTCTTCCACCCTGTCACCTCGCATGAATGGAACTGACAAGCGGGAGGGAGAGCAATTTGTTGGAGTAACTGGGTGACTCACGCTGACATGCTGTGGCCATTGAACCTGAGCAGTACCCATGTACTCACAGCTTGAATCCAGCTCTGGGCAGCTTTCTGACAGCATGTGTGTTGTAAACGTCAGGTAGTTTCCACTTATGTTCTAGAGAATGAGGATGGGCAAGGAGTCAGGGCACTACTTTGAGACTCAAGTTCAATTCCCTGCTCCATCATAGACTTCTTGTGTGACCTTGAGCAAGTCACTAAGCTATGTTTCAGTTTCCCCATGTGTAAAATGGAGATAATAGTATTTCCTTGGGTGTTAAGGATCAATACATTGAAGATTGTGAGGTGCTCAGATCCCTGATGACGGGGTCCATGTAAAAACCAATGTTTTAACAGAATGAGCAAACGCTCATGCATAGATGTAAATTTGTGCCTGAAACCCAGAAACCCAACTGATAAGGCTAAATTTAGTTTTTTAAATAATCCTTTTACAAAAGAGTTCTCGGTCTCTGCGTAAAAGAGAGATGGATGTTTAACATATTGATTAAAAAATATGGTGACTGGAACTGGTTAAAATGTTCATCAGTTTTTTTAATGAAAAATTACTTTTTGATAAATGGAAACTTTCTATTGGGGTTTTGTTAAAAAAAAAACCCAAACACCAAAATATTCAGTTTTCAGTTGTTGAAAACTGAAAATTTCAGTGAAAAATTCCTAATGAAAATGAAAACATTTCATTTTCTTCAAAATTTAGTGCAGAATAAAGTACATTTTTGAACAATGTTTTGAGGTAACAATTAATGGGACTTTCAATTAAAAAAAATCACGTTTATAACAGTAGTAAGTATTTACATTCATACAGGTTACACCAAAGGTTACTGTAACAAAGATCAGAGACAAACTATTTCTCTTTCTTTCCAGTTTCTTCACTTTGTGCATTCAACATTGCTTTGTGTATAGTTAGTTTCACTGTTTCCCTTATACCTTATTCCCTTTTGGTTGTGTGGTCTTTCACACAACAGGGAGGAAAACCTTTATAAAAAATGTGACCGCACTGCCACAAAAATGGGGAAAGGGATTTAAGGGCAGGTATAATATCAAACTACTTCAAATTCTATTTTTTAAAAGCTGACTAGAGTAGAAATTGAGTAGAGCTTAGGAGTTATGAGAGTATGATGTAGCTCAATTGAGAGGCTTGGGACAAAGAGTTATTGGAATTGTAACATACAGTAACTGCAAGAAATGGGGAAATGGCCACTGTGATTGCATAATCGCCTGTGGACACAAACATAACATCTTTACAATCTAAATCAGAACTGACTTGGGTATGAGGCACAAGATGAAAATATCAGATATACATTGTCAGTAAATATGAAACTTTTTGGTCCTTTTTTCTTGTATATTACATTCATTTGCATATTAACCATTCTCCCAGAATCTTTATGATATTGCAAAGAGTATCTTAAATTCTAAGGCCCATAGCATTAGTTCTTAACCTGTGGGTGACCTGTACTCAGGAGTTTTTAAATGTGATTCAGTGTTGGGCTGTATCTAATTATCATCAGCATGTCCAAGTCTGTGGGAATATAGATGTTCAGGGAAAAGACCCCTCAAACAAATAAAAGTTTCTACAGAAGTATGTTATAAACAAAACTGGGTGACTTATAAGGGATATTTGTTATTGCAGATGGGTTCTGTAGTGGATAAAATAATCACCCATTGAAAAATGGGTAACTCATTAACAGGGGCAGCTCTATGTTTTTTACCGCCCCAAGCACGGCAGTCAGGCAGTCTTTGGTGGCACGCCTGCGGGCGGTCCGCTGGTCATGCGGATTTGGCGGTGTTTCTGCGGGTGATCTGCCGGTCCTGCGCCTTTGGCGTACCCGCCGCCAAATTGCCGCTGAAGCCACAGGGACCAGCGGACCTCCCGCAGGCATGCCGCTGAAGGCTGCCTGACTGCTGTTCTCACAGCGACCGGCACGCCACCCCCCGAGGCTTGCCGCCCCAGGCATGCGCTTGCTGCGCTGGTGCCTGGAGCCGCCCCTGCTCATTAAGAACTGTTGGTTGTCACAGTTGTTAGTAATAATGACCAGGTTAGAGAGAGTCCTTTTTACTAAATCAATCAAGTAAACTGGGGATCATACAAGAAATTTAATGAGTAATCAGGAAACAGAACACATGGTAAAATTAATTATGGGAAAGGATTTTCCCCTCCAAAAAGCAGTTTCTTTGTCTCACACCCTATAAAAGGTACTACTGTTGGAAAGTTAGGGCAGGTCTTCACTACAGGGGTGGGTCGATTTAAGATACGCAAATTCAGCTACGCGAATAGCGTAGCTGAATTCGACGTATCGCAGCCGACTTACCCCGCTGTAGGGACAGTGGCAAAATCGACCTCTGCGGCTTCCCGTTGACGGCACTTACTCCCACCTCCGCTGGTGGAGTAAGAGCGTCGATTCGGGGATTGATTGTCGCATCATAAATCAATCCCCGAGAGGTCGATTTCTACCCGCCGATTCAGGCGGGTAGTGTAGACTTAGCCTTAGATTGAGAATTAACACTATCAGCATTGCACCAAGTACAGAGAAAGGGACCAAACTACCATCTCTTCACCATCTACAGGGGTATGTCTTCTTTCTATATAGTGCTGTATGCATCTTTGATTAATCATCTTTGACTACATAATTCCATTTGAGTCTGCTAGCTGAGCATCTCAAATTGTTATCCTGTTCAAACAGGTAACAACATAATGAAACCAACGTGGATGAGTCAAGTTCTTATTGATGCCTCACTGAAGAAATGTTAAAGCAGCTGGCTCTCAGGATTTTAAACTGCAGTGATTTTCACAAAGAATTTTAAATGTTTCAAAAGTTGTTAGCAGATGGGTTCTGAATTGGGGCACATGATGGTGGTGATACTGCAAAACAATCATGGAAGCTTTTAGAGTTGAAAATTCCCTGATTTTGTATCTCTGGTATAGGTGCTGACTGCATGGGTGCTCCAGGGCTAAAGCATCCATGGGAAAAAAGGGGGTGGCACTCAGCATCCACCAGCCACAGTTGTTCAGCAGGGCCCAGGGGCTGGCCTCCAGTCAGCTGTCTGGTGGCTGGTGGGAGGTGCTCAGGGGAGGACTGAGAGGAGCCAGCGGCAGCCAGGGGGCTGCTTGGGGGCTGACAGGACTGAGCGAAGGGTGGGCAGGGAGGCCTGAGGGAGGGGCTGGAGCAGGAGCAGGAAGAGGCAGAGTGAGGGCATGGCCTCAGGGCGGAGCACCCACCAAGAAAAATAAAAGTCAGCGCCTAGGCCTCTGGGTGAATGAATAAATAATACTTTGTTTTGAAGATGCTGTTTCTGTGTCATTTCAAACATTGTCACAAGTTCTTGAAGAGAAATTTCATTGGAACCAAATGCAGCTGGGCCTGTCACATTAACGTGTTTGGAAAACGGGTGGGCTGCAACCCAGATGGCCAGTCTCCTACTGGTTGAACTGCAAGTTTCCATGCAGAGAGGGGCGAAGGTCATGAGGCCTGTCCCTTAAGGGATTCACTCGAGGGACTAAAAGGGGTCAGTAATACACAATAATGCTGATACAAGCTTACAATAAATGTATCTTTCTCAAAAAGCAGCATGTTTAAATCTCATTCAGTTACTGTATGGATTATACATTGCATGGGGAATAACTCAGGCAATATCGCTTAAACAAGTGGTCTTCAACAGAGCTTTCTGAAAGACTACTTCATCTGGACTTGGATTCTTAGAAATATCAAATGTTCCCTGCAAGATGGATAAGATTTGATAGGGCTCTGGCATCTTGCAGGATTGGGTTTTTAATATCCTAAGAACAGGGGGGAACAGGTGTTGGGTAAGAGAAGCTTCCACCATCTCCATGTGTTTGGATCTCAAATTTAGGATGGGGGGGAATAAAATAAAAAGGTCAAAACCCCACCCCAAGCAGAACTTTCTATAACCTAGAAAGGAAGAAGCTGCAATGGATCCATGAAGTCCAACAGGTAATTTGCTATTACCCATCTAATTACTGTGAATGGCTCTCTGATAAGCAACTATACAAAATCTCTGTTGCAGCCCAAGCCCTGCGTGGTGCACCGATTATGAGATGGGAGAGATCAAAAATGTTTTGCTCTGTTCTAATTAAAGCCACTAAAACATCAGTGAATTCTAGTAAGATTTTTTTAAAGTCATTCCAGCCTCCAAACTCACACCCCACTGAGAGCTCCCCAAATCTTTCACATGCTTTCATTTGCCCCCTTTCCTCTTTCACACAACTACAGTTGTATATTATCCATTTACAGAAAGGGAAGTTTAAACCGTAAGGTGGAAAGCCAAAGAGCTTTCAGGCTGTAAAGTGCTTCTCCATTTCCCCCCCCCCCTCCCCAATTTGTGATGTTTTATTTAATGTTAGGCAGGTTGCCACTGCTCTGTCAGATTCTCTCACTGTCAGTCTGTCACCACCAGAAAAAGTGTAGAACTCTAAGTATATTGCAGTCTGCCTTGTGGTGATCTGTTCTAAGGGATCTGTTACCTGTAAGACAAGCTGCTATAGACTTCCAGCTGAATAGCCACTGGTGGTGACAAGCTGACATCTCCCAGAGCTGATATTTCCCAAGGATGCAGGCCAGGGCTAAAATAAAATGTACAAACAGGAAAATGAAGCCAAAACACTTTCCAGAGCCCTCAGTGCTTTTGAATCTAAAATATCCCTATCAATTACATTCGCTTCAAATCAACTGAAATTAGCCCTAGAGGAATTGTGGTTTCCATTTAGTCTTTTTTTTTCTTCAGTATAGTTTTCTCTTATTGCTCCCACTTCTTTCCTTCGCACCCTCACTGCCTGCCCCCATCTCACTCAAAAACCGTGAGTCAGAGACCCAAAACGTGATACTAAAAAAAACAATTGGGATCTTATTTGCTTTCTGAATTCTGAGCCTTTTGGGGTCACATTTTCCAGCTTTCTTTCACAATGATGAGGGCTAGAAACTTTATTTTAAATTTTCACATGAACATCTGACTCCAGGAGCTAAAGGGTTCACCCATACCAAATTTGGTGAAAATTAACAGCATTGAAGATTTGGCTGAGCATTACAATTTAGAACCTTCTGAAAGTCCCCCATCATTAGCTTTAAGTGTAGTACTGTTTTGGTGAGGCTGGTGAGATTTTCTGTTTACTTCTGATTGTTAGATTATTTTACCTTCTTGTGACCAACACTAATCCTTGAGGAAAAGGCCTTGCTGACCGCAACTGTATTTTTTTCTGATTAGTCATTCTCCTGTTTTACAGCATGTTACCATCTTCATTAGTTCAGAATTATTCATCTTATGTCCCTCACATTCTTATTGTAGCTGTTAATGTAACAAAAATATTCCTTGACTGCACAGAACAGGGGCTCTCTAGAACATCCCATGTTCACAGCTATCCCACTTTCCAGTGAACAGTTTTTTGCTCACATCTTACATGATTTTAGTCAGCTTTGTCTCTTTAGGTGTCCAAGACATCCAAAGTGTGTGCACGCCTGAAAAACTTTCAAGACATCATTTCATGTGCCATGGTGTAATGGTCCCTTGCTATCAAATGCAGAGGGAGGCCTCACAGCATCAGGCAGCAGCTCGGATCCTGCTGGTGCGGCTGAGCGGTAAGCAGTCTGTAGCTTGTAGCCTCCTAGCAGAGGCAAATAACTGTTAACTGTCTGGCACTCTAGCTCCCTCGGGCGGGGCAGAGCAATAAGCAGTCTTTAGCTCAGAGTCTCCCAGCTAGGGCTGCTGCAAATCAAGAGTCTAGGGCTCTGGCCCTCTATGATGGGCAGAGCATAAGCAATCTTTAGCCCACAGCATCTAGGCTAAGGCAGACAGCAGACAAACAGTCTATAGGAGAAGCTCCGGCCCTTTGGTCGGGGCAGAGCAGGGAGCAGGCTTTAGCCTAAGCCTCCTGGCTAAGGGCAGCTCGCAAACACACAGTCTGGAGACCATAGTCTCCTGGCTGGAGTAAGCCACAAGCACAGGCCTTTTGGCCTAGGGGTGAATAGGCTGCCACCCCAGGGATGGGGTTGGCAGCAGCAGGTAGGGGGACCCAGGCCCACCCTATTCCAGTGGGTTCCAGCCCAGGGCCTTAACAGTGGCAAATGGTTCCGCCACCAGGTTAGCGGGGATCCTACTGATCCAGCAACAAAACCATATTAACATCTGTTTTCCCTGGGCTACTTCCTACCATAGTCTGGGCAGGGGGCTCAGTAGTCCAAAGGTCCTCTGTCTCCTCAGGATATCAGTCTCAGCAACTCCTCTCCAGGGTTGTTGGTCTCCCAGGAGCAGAGCACTGCACAGCACAGGGTCAGCTCTGGAGTTCTGCTGGAGACATCTGGCTCCCACTCAACTGACCTTGAGGCCCTCCCTTTGTACTTCCTGCCCCACCCCGATTCTTCTGGTGAGGACACCGGGCGGGTTTGGCTCTGCCCACTAGGGGGAATGCAGTGGTCCCTCACTCTCAAGTCTGGAGGGAGGCCACTCTGCTTCACTACACATGGCATTATAAAACTGATTAAAAATCAGCTGTATGACAGAAAATTCTAGAGAAACAGGATCCAAGAATTTTCTTTCCATTCTGTATCATCTATTATAGGTCTACTATTAAAATATAGACATTCTAGAAAGAACCACCAAATAATACAACACAAATTCGGCATTATACCTCTCTTCTTTTCCCTCCTATTGCTTCATTCATCTGATGTCTATATTAGCTGGGCCAGGCCACCATCTTCTCTCACACCTGGTCCACATCCCAAGTCTTGGAGAATAGGTGGTCTTCATTTGGAATTTTAAGGCCTTTATCCTTTCCTAATATTTCCGAGCTTCTTCTTATTGTGAGATGACTGTCTTTTTCTAAGAGGTTTACCCACCAAGTCACCAAATACACATAAGTAAGAGGCAGTGCTTCTCCCCATCTCACTATGGACCAAATTCTGCCCATGGCTCCACCTGTATGACCACTGATATCAGAAGTGTTGCATAGGTATAAACAGAGGGTAGCATTTTCTCACTATCAATATGGTCCCTTCTATAACTGCATAGACCAGGCCAGGATTTAAAGACTCCTTGCCAGCTGACAATAGTCAGCATACATTGTATTCGATGGGTAGATAGAAGATCAGGGAGAGATACGAAGTCGCTGTCTAGTAGCCTCAAGTAATAAGACCTCTGTGTATTCATTATAAGAATCCTGTATGGGGTTTTTTTAATCTGTGGCAAAAGAGAGTCATAGGAGTATTTCCTTTCCTCTCCTCCCCAAGAGGAGTGTTATAGTGAGGGGGCTGGATTAACACATTAAATACAGTCCATTTTTAGATCGTCACTTTTAGTGTAGAATGATGCTATTAGTCTAGAACAGTGTTTCTCAACTTTTTGATACCAGAGACCAGCTTGCTGCCTTCCTAAACTGTGTCCGGGAGCTCTCAGAGACCGGTGCCGGTCCACAGACTGGTTGTTGAGAAACGCTGATCTAGAAAACTGATTCAGCACAGTTCTGTAACAGTCAGGGCTGGCTCTAGGCACCAGCAAAACAAGCTGGTGCTTGGGGCAGCACATTTTTAGGGGCGGCATGGCCAGCGCCAGAATGCCGCCCCTAAAACTGTGCCCCGGCCGCCCTAGCTCACCTCCGCTGCTGCTGCCACGGCGCACGAAACAGCTGATTCGCGTGCCGCTACTCGCCCTCCTCTCAAGCCTGGGAGGGAGGGGGAGCAGCGGCGCGCAAATCAGCTGTTTCGTGCGCCGCGGCAGCAGCAGCGGAGGTGAGCTAGGGCGGCCGGGGCACAGTTTTAGGGGCGGCCATCTGGCGCCGGCCCCGCCCGCCCTCAAAAA